TATAAAATATAATGGTCGCATGTGATTGGGATATGTGCTTCACTTATGTCATGACTGGATAGGAAGGGACTGCTTATGATACTCGTTTGTTTGACTATGCACGCACAAGGCCGAACATGAAATTTTCACATCTACCCTAAGGTATATTTCAGATTTATCTAATTTAAAATAATTTTGTCAATATTTTTTAGGATATTATAATTTCTATTTTTTTATTAATAGGTAAATATTATTTGTTAGATATCGACTATCCAATGCCATGTGGATATTTAGATCCTTATAGATCTCAGAGGTATTACATCCCAGATTTCAGGCATTCATTCGAGTTTGCAAACAATAATGAAATTTTCAATTATTATCATTCAAACTTAAGGACCATAATTGAAAGGGCTTTTGAGGTTTGGAAAAACAGATTCACAATTTTATGACACATGCCTAACTATCTATTTATAATGCAAGTTCATATGGTTGGTGCAACAATGGCTATACATAATTTTATTAGAAGAAAATCTACAACTGATTCTAATTTTAGGCATTTTGAGGATGAAAATATGGTTAACACTAACGATGATAATGACGAGCATGCATTTTCATCAACAATTTCAAGTGCAATTTCAAGCATAACTTCTGATAGAGAGATGAATAGGGTTCAAGATTCTATTAGAGATCAGATTGTATATTATAGATTGAACCATTAATCATATAACTATTCAATATTAATAAATGTTTAAGTATTTATTACATAATTTTTTCCAAAATTAAATTTTATATTTTTTATTCTTATTATTTAACATTTTAAATTTTATGTTATTTTAAATTTGTTTCACATTTTTTAAATATTTCTAATATATTATATTTGTATAATAAAAATTATAAATTATCATAAATTAATGTCCTTTTTAGTTATTACATATGAAAAAGTACATTTCAAAAGCAAACATTTTTCTTAGTTCAAACAACTTTTAGTTTGCCAAACTGACTTTTAAAAAAATGTATTCAAATACAAATTTTATTACAATAACTGACTTTTATCAAATTGACTTTTGACAAACTGAAAACTAAATACATACTTAAACTCTAGGTGGGAACTATTAGCAGAGGATAGGTGATAGGCAATTAAGTATAGATAGAATAAAAGTACAAATAATGATTATATTTTACTTAATATTATTTTATAGAACTATATATGTATGCTATTTTGAATATTTTTTCAGTTAAAATTATATTTTAAATTTTTTATTTTTTATAAATATATATATATATATATGAACGTATCAAAAAACATATCATATCCTATATTTTTAAAAATTAAAGTATTAGAGTATTGGATATGTATTTTATTCGATACACATATCAATGTCCGTTTATTGTAGGACAAAGTATAGGATGAGCCATAAATTAAATTCACAATAAGGGTAAAATTGATAATTGGTAATAAATAATTCCCTATGTGAATTATATTAAGGATCAAAGAATCATTGTAAAAGGTGTTCTATAATAGAGATAGGAAGAAGCATTCAAACAAAATTTGTCAATGTTAATTTTTTGCCACTTTTTTATTGTCAAATTTAAAACAAAAGATGATGAATGTTAAAATTGCAAATTTTTAATAACTAATTACACAACTTTATGATGAATGTCTTTAAAATCAGATTACCATCTTACAAAGTCTAAAAGAAACATGCAAGAGATAAGATGTATAATTATATACAATTTCTATGGAAAACATCCATGTGATAATGTTCTTGAAAGTACTCTATAAACATGAATCTAATAACAATTACAGTTAAACATAAAAAAAAAATTAAAGACACCAAGTACATTATTTCCATCGTCCATAAATTATTTTAAAAAACAACTTCATTTTGATAAAGAAATCTAAGAAAATGACATTATTAATTAAATTTTATAATTCAAAATGTTGAGGTGTCACCCAATCCACTCAATTGGTTTGGGTTAATTTCACGTGTTTGATAAGGAAATATAAGAAAATGACATTTCTAATTAACTTTTAAAATTTAAAATATTGAGGTGTTAACTCAATTGTATTGGATCAACTTCACACAACCCACAAGATTTGAATCTATTTAAGAGTACATTTGGATATATGACTTTTGCTTTTTGAAAATTACTTTTCCATATTTAGGATGTGAGATGCTTGGCAATTTTATGATTCGATAAATTGAGTTTTTAAATATGGAACAGCATTGGAAGTAAATTTGGGAATATGGCTACCAAAAGCTTTTGAAACGCACGTTTAGAAAGCAATTGATAGATTCTGCCCTTGACATAAACATGAACCTCTTTCCTGTGGAATCTGAATGTTTGGCATTTAAGTGTTGTTACATTTTTTTTTTTTATCATTCTAAGGTTGACTATTTCCTTCCTAGTTTTTCTTCCACTTGATTTATATTTTTATTATTTAACATATAAAATTTTATGTTATGTAAAATTTCTATCACATTTTTTAAAGAATTCTAATATATTACATTTATACTACAAAAATTATAAATCATTATAAAGTCAACATTATTTTTTATAAATGTGCATTTAAAACCATTTTTTATTATATATAATTCAAATAACTTTCAGTTTATCGAATTAGCTTTTAAAAGAATATATTTAAATACAAATTTCATTGCAATAATTGAAAATCTATCTAGATATCCCATAATAATCAACTCTAGGTTTCAAAACTAAGGTTTTGAAGAAGGGTGTCTGAACACACTCAATTTTTCTAAACTTCATTTGGCTTCCAAAATTCCATTTGAGAGTGAAATATAACTTTTGGGAATTGTCAGAATGTCCATTTTATAATTTTACCCTTCATTTTTTATCAAAATTTTACTTTTCATTTTACTTATCAATATTTACATTATAAAAAATGATGTCCTTTGTTGTAATTTATAAATCTAAAATTGATTATAATAAATCATTCAAACATTTTGAATTTATCAAAATCAATTTCAAAAAATATTATCTAAACACTATGCCATCCTGTTAATTAAGTTTTTGTAATTAAAGTCCAAACACACCTTGATATTTATTAAACTAACTTATGTCAAATGAATTTTTAATAAATTAATTTTTGATCAACAGAAAATCAAACAAGCACTAAATAAGATGTAGGAAAAGGTTCAATATTTAAACCTTTATAGTGTATGAAAATATAAGTTAGACATTATCCGAAATTATCCTGGTGGATGTAACTCAGTTCATCACATCAATCATATATAATAATACAATCGGCAAGATTTGAACGAACCTTCTAATTATTTTCTTACCATTGAGAAATAAAGTAAACATTGAGCAATCATCGATATGGCATACATAAAGGAATGGATTTTTCGAAATAATTTTAAATTTAAATACCATATATAACAGTCTCAATAATAAGAATGGTAAGAATTGAAATTTAAATGCATTATTTTTCACCCCCTCTATTAAAAAATGCAAGGCATTTTTACCTAAATTTTACCCCCAATAAAATAATTACTTACTTTTCAACTAACTCTATCTTTTCATATTTACTCTTATTAAATACCTTACAATAAATATAAATTTTTTAATTAATAGGGACATTTTTGAAAAAAAAAATAATGATTACACCTCAAAAGATTAAAAATACCTAACGTTTTTTGATATTCAACTCCTAAAAATATGCCTTACATTTTTGAACGAAAGGAATATATGTTCTTATTTATTTAATAAGGTGTTCATCGAATGATGAATGATCTAATAGTTTATTCAATAAGAGTATTTAAAAAAACTCAATAATTACCCATTGAAAATGTCTTATTTTTTATATCTAATTTAAAAAAATTCTTTATATTTTTTAATGAAAGGAATATATTTTAAATTAAGTATGATTTCTAAAAAAATGTTTTAAACTGTGGCTGGGAGGAAATATTTTTTAAATATTGTACTTTTGTAAACACTTATTTTGACATAATTTATGTTTATAGTGTAGCCTATTTATCTTTATTTACTATTACTATTACTGTAACTATATGTATTTATAAATAGTGATGTGATGGGATTAGGGTAGCTTCATATTTTATTGCATCACTCTGTAGTACTGGATTGTTGATTCAAGTGTTTAAATTATTGAATTAAATATACTAATATATATATATATATATATATAAGTAACTGAAATTTCAGCATCTTGCAACTAACGATTGCGGTTAGTGCTGCTATTGAACTTGTCGAAACTGGGAATTACTCGAGGCAGGTGAATGGAAAGAACCTGGAAGCTCCCAAAGTTGAAACTAACCATTGAAGTTATTGCTATTCAAATTGTGGTTGCGCTTGCTGTTTTTCACGTTATGCCGCACCGCCTTCCCAGTGCCACTTTCACAGTTTCCACAAGGCCCACTCAATTCTGAATCCGCTCAACCTCACCTTCCTTTCTTAGTACTCTTATCTCATAAATATAATAATTACTAATTAATAACATTTTCCGATATTTTTATTCGACGACCCATGCCAATATATAAATAGCTCTTCTCTACTTCAAGTCTTCACACCACAGAGCCCCGCGAAACGGAAAGCGAGAGGTCTCTTCCCTTCCTGGGCTTACCTACAAGCAAGCAAGATTCACCTTGCTTGTTCCTTCCCGCCTTTATAGAGTATATTCCTTTTCATCTCTTTTCTTTTATACTTGTTATTGTTATTGCTTGCTTAATCCCGAAGTTTCTGTTTAAACTCTTATCTAATTCTTCTTTGCTTCTGTTTTTTTTTTTTTTTTCCTGCCCTTCGTCTTTTTGGAAGCTTTTTACGCGTCAATTTTATTCTTTAAGTTGAAGTTTCGGATTAGTGTTCTGTAGGCCCTGCTTCGATCAATCTATTCGAAAATCACAGCTCTCTCCTTTTTCTGGCTTGCTATTCTCGAAGTTGTTCTTCAATTTTCATTTTATATGCATTAGTCTGTCTGTTCCTTCAATTTTCTGTTCGCCTTCTCATTCGGTAATCGATATTACCTTTCAAATCTATCGGCATATATTGGTTATGATTTCAGTTGTTCTATGTTTACTTCATTGACTTTGACTTTTCAATCCCTGACGGTGCTTTTGATCCGTTCGATGTATCTAATAGCCAAGCTTGACGTCTTTTGCCTGCCTCTTAAACTTTCCCATAAAACTTCAAAACTAAATCTGCTTGCCATGCATCGCAATGGTTTAGTCCTATATAATCAGCTGATACTTCTTGTTGAGGATGACAAAGTTGCTTTTTTTTTTTTCTTTTTTTGGTTGCGTCATTGGCACTATCAGAACACAATTTAGAAACTAGATAGATATAGTTATGTTTTTGACATGTCTTGCATTAACTAAATATACGGTTTTGGGGTGGAAAAATTAATTCTGCTTCGATTAATCTTCTACAAATGCATTTAAATCTCGTTGATATTGAATGTAATTCTGATAAGAAATAGCACGTCTGATGTATCTTGTGCCTTTGTACGATGCAGCCTTGCGATGCACTTGTTAGAATTTAGGATAAATGAAGTGCTGTAAATCCAAACCATTAATGAAGGCTTACATTCTTCCATGATGATTGATCATTAGGTTGTTAACGCATCTCTAGTGCCATTTACTTTCCTGCAGAATTGATCGTTAGGCTTAAATTCTAGATGATTATTTTAAAGTGAAATCGTTTTTTCCGCTCCTTCAAATGTGAGGTATGTTTTGGAAAGCTTCACCTTTTAATATACAAGGTATTTTGCAGATTTCTAAGAACAATTAATTTCTTTTTTTCTAAAATACTTATAAGATTATATTAAAATTACTTACTTCCCCTCCTTAATATGGTTAATTTCCCATGCATTCAAAGAAGGATAAACTTGAAAAAATTTAAAATCTTAACTACCTAACTTTCTCTTTATAGGTTTGCATTAAGTAAAAATGTCTTGTGTTTGAAACAACTCATGTTTTAAATTGCTGGCCATTTCTGGAGTTAGAAGAACAACAAAACTTAAAAAGTGTGTCAAAGTGGAACCCTATTAAGACTTAATTTGCTAAAGGACAGCCTTTATGTGAGCTTAAGATTATTTTCTTGTCCTTAACCCAATGGAACTAAATAAGATTTCATTTTCTAGACATAATGTATATACTGTTTGCAGTTCTGATATGCATCAAGTCATTTATATGAGCTTACCAGCTTGGTTTACAGAAAGGTGTTTCTATTGCCGGTTTTGAATTTAATGTTGCCATTGTTTGCATTGTTTAGAAAAGGACATTGGAGTGAACATTGAGAGCTGGTTCAATATTTATAAAGAAAAACAGGATGGAGCACCATGCTGTAGAAAGAAATGAGCCAGTTCGCAATGTACCTGAGGAAGGTATTAACAATACAATCAAGAAAGATGAAGCAAGAAGGGATGATCAATCAGTTCGTAATGTAGCAGAGGAAGATATTAACAATCCAATTAAGACAGATGAAGCAGGAACTGACGATAATCTAGTTTTTAATTTACCAGAGGAGGCTACTAGCAATCCAGTTGAGACAGGGGAAGTGAGAATTGATACACAAGTAGTTTTTTCTAATGCTGATGAAGGGGGAGAACTTTACGCTTCTGTCTCAAATGAAGAGGCTGGGTCAGAGATTTTGAGAATCTCTTTGGTTGAACCATCAATTAGATTTTTGAAGAATAAGCTTCTTGTTCTTGACATAAATGGGCTGCTTGCTGACGTAGTTCTACCCCAACCATTTGGCCACAAAGCAGATGATATTATTGCTGGGCGTGCAGGTGAGAATCAAATATATTGTGTTTTCTGCATTTCTGATAATTCCTTCATACTTCACTGATGAGGTTGTTTTTAATTTTCAGTATTCAAGAGACCATTCTATCTGGAGTTTCTGGAGTTTTGCTTTGAGAATTTTGAAGTAGCTGTATGGTCTTCAAGAATGAAGTAATCATCTTTACTATATGTCACCTTATATCACCTATGTTCAGTTTGTATGTTGTTGATCTTCTGTTTTATATAAAGAATAATCTCAATTTTATTTTAAATTTCAGGAAAAATGTGGATAAAGTCATCAACTGTTTGATGGGTGACATGAGACATAAGCTACTTTTCTGTTGGGTATGCACTTTAGCTATTTCTATTGACTTCTAATTCTTCGTTTCTTTTGTTAAAATTTTTATGTGATTTATGCTGTGGATAACTAGTTTTAGCATATACAACAAAGCATTAATATCTAGCAATGCAATAATTAGGGCAATTATGTTAGGTAATTACTGACCATAATACTTGTTTAATAGCACGTTATTGCAGTGGATTTCATGCTTGTTAAAATGCTAGGAAGGGATTGTCTGATTTTTCTGTTGATGATGTTCTTTAACATGGTTCTCTCCCTACTATTTATTAATTGAATTTTAGATATAAAGATAACATTCTCTTCTATGTTTTCTTGCACGTAACCTAGATATTATAAAATATTCATAACTATGCCTGTCCTATATTAAATGACATATTCTTATATGGTGACGTAGTCTTGGTGATTTCTTGGCGTTTTACTCGTTAAATTTTCTATTTAACCTCAATGCTTTGCAGCCTGTGATTGATTCTTAGCGATGTTGAATTTCTCAGGATAGTTCTCATTGTACTCCAACAAGTTTTAAAACTCTTGAAAATAAGCACAAGCCTCTGGTTTTTAAGGATCTGAGGAAAATTTGGGACAAGCATGATCCTGATCTTCCGTGGGAGAAGGGATACTACAATGAATCGAATACATTGCTATTGGATGATTCTCCTTACAAAGCGTTGCTGAACCCAGTAAAACTTACTTTTTAGTAGCCATCTTCTATATGTGTTTACATAACTTTACACTTTCACATCCTTATGGGTGTTCTGTACAATCATTTCAGCCACACACCTCCATCTTTCCTCATACATACACGTATCAGAGCAAGTGCGATAATTCGTTAGGTATGCTAACTCAGTGTACATCCTTCTTGTGTCCTTGTACTAAATGATCGGTACTTTCATAAATGCTACATATATGACTGGTATAATTGTGATTTATTACAGGTAATGGAGGTGATCTGCGAGTATATTTGGAAGGTCTGGTGAAGGCTGGAAATATGGCAGAGTACATTGAACAAAACCATCATGGTCAAGAACGTATCACTGAAAGAAGTCCTTCTTGGAGCTTTTATTTCCGGGTTATTCATAGTCTTTCTACAAGTCAATTTGAAAATATGAGCATGTCGACTTAAAATTGAGTTAGCGGGCAAGAGCAGGGAAGTCATTGGAAAGAGAAATTGAGAGAGAGAGAGCTTTATGTTTTTTTCCCTCATCAACAGTTTCATACTTGATGTTTTCATCATTCAAGTTTCTTTCGAGATGTCAGGTATATGGTACTAGCGAGCAGAGATGTATCAAGATTTTTTGGCTATTAAAATCTGTCATTGAACTTGAATTAGGTTGTTGGCGAAAAGTATGTCATGATTTACTGTGTCACTATCTTGATTTTTTTTTAAAAAAAAAAAAACATCTTTTAGGCTCCATGGTGTGAGGGCCCTTGATCCCCTACTGCTCATAATGCCAGGGACATGTAAACCTTGAAGTGTTACAAACCAAATGCATGAGCCATGAGGTTATATGCCAAGGTAATTTGAAGCATGACTTTTCGTTTTGGGCCAGCAACTTGCCAAAATGGGTAGTGAAATTGCGATTTCTTTTTTGGTCTTGCAAAATGAAAGGCAACAAAAGCCTAGTTTTAATAAAAGCGACAAGAATAAGAGATAAACGACAGAATTGAGTCTTACATTGAATATTTTTTTAAGAAAAAACCCCATATTTTTTGTATAAAAACTTACAAATACCAGACTTAATTAATTACACCAAGGGCTTAACATTTTGAAGTGAATAGTCTAATGACACAAGTCTTACAATAAGCATGTTAAGAGGGAGCAAAATTGAAGCGCCACAGTCAGCAGCATGACATTATTTTTTTGGTACCGACAACAAATGAGCGGGTTCTCATATCTCAACCAGAGACTTGGGCTGCCCAAACGGTTTGGTCAAACACGGTAATGGCATAGCAAGGAATAGTTCATTTAAATTGAAAGCAATGCATGTATTGGATCACAGAAACTCTGAAGATGTTAACAACGTAAAACACTGTCAAGGTTTCCCACTTTGTCCCTTTGTGGGGTATCCCGCATCGTTATTAATCAACCCTTCACTTGGCTCTACTTCCCACTTTCCACCATCCTTCCCAAGCTCTCGCACCTTTTGTATGTGTTGCTACTTTTCTTTTTGAATAGAAGGTCACAACCGTGCAATAAACAAGAAAACTACGTGATATCAGAAAGCATAAGATCCCTGCATTGTAATGGGGGATGGTGAGCATAGTGGTGCACAGGTTGTGTTGATTCTCTTGGTAACAAGTCAGTCAACACATCTATTTACTTAAAATATAGTTCAATATGACATTCTAATTCCTAATAATAAGATTTATGATATTCTTGATAGTGTTGATAGGATGGGTGTATACTTTTAAAAGTGTTTTTAAAAGTGTTCACTACAAATAAGATTGATAGACTTTAAAAAGTCCCAAAAAATATTGATTTGGAGGTCTAACAAAGATTTAAAGCTTTTAAGAACGCCTAATAGTTCAATAGCAATGCACAGTTGGAATTTGAAAATTTTTTGAAACTCTTTTTCACATTCCTTACCTCTCTCAAATGAAATATCTACAAAAAGCTGCTTCATTAAAATTAATAAAGCTGCCATTGTCCAATCTTACCTAACAAGATTGAGGTGGGAGTCACCCCCAAAATGTATGTCTTTGTCTTGAAACCAAAATGTCTGTCATCACTTCAAACTTGAGATCATTGATAAATAGTTTTTGCGATGATAAAAGCTATATCTCTCTCTAGAGAGTTGTCTTCATAATGCAAGAGGCTATGTCTGGTCTTTTAAATGTTCTAGCAAACTAGAGCCAACCGATCTTGATTGCAAAATTTCCTGTGCATGGGCTCCTGGTTTCATTCTTTGCATACGACAAATTCCAATCCTGTAAAGTGAAAGAAAAAAGAGAGTTAAGTTTGGCAAGCTTCACAAGTTTTAACCAAACTTGTTTAAATTTACGACAGTCTACGCAGTTAAGAATTAAGAGAACTGCAATCAAAAGGACTAGTCCTCTTATAAATGTTATATCCTTATATTGTCTAGAGACTATTCCTAGCAGCTTTCTAAGGAAAAGATTCAATATTTTCGTAAGTAAGCCCTTTTTTCCCCAGACTTTAGATCAAATACTTGATAACACTTGACGCAGAAGGCAGGAAAACAGTGAAAGCATTATTTCACAGTGAGTGATATGATGAGCTTGAGCATGCCCCTCGTACTTGCTCATCATTCTCCAAACAGTGACGCCTGTGTCTGCCATTCTTGGTCCTCCTCGCCCATCACCCCCACAATTATTATTATTATATTGCATTGAGCAGTTTTTTGAGGAACAGAGGCATCTGATCCTTCGTGCCAAACCATCATCATCACTTGCTATTCCTTCCATATCACATTCTTCTGTTCCCTCCTGTTTCTTCTCCTTCAAGGCTGGCACCCACCTTCTGCTCAATCCACTTCCACTGACATCTACTTTTATTCTTTTGTCTATTATTATTCCACTGTAAAAATCATACGTTCACCCCCAAAACATTCTATATTTACATCTTACAAACAAACTGTTTCTGACACGCCTTGCTGCTTTTTGACGATACAGTTGATTCTGTGGTTTGTTTCATAGGTGTTGGACTTTTGCATATTTATTAGTAGATTGAAATGTACCTAAATTATTGTTCTTCCGAGTTACAAGAGGATATACGGGGAAATTAATTTGGTTTATTACGCTTTAATCATTAATTTCATTCTTTCTTTTAGGGGGAAAAAAATCACTAGCGGGTCAGGTCAAATTGGTAAATACTGTGTTATGAATATTCTTTAAAAATATTTATAATTTTTTATATAAAAAAATTAGATGAAAAAGATACTAGAAGCTCATTGAGAGCAGAGTGTGCTTCCAGACTCAAAACATATTTTTAAATATACTTATAAATTGCTCACAACCTTGTGATTATAGGCAAAATTCTTATTACTTGAATTAACTTTTGTTGTTAGTAATAGTAATTAGAAATTGGAGCAATGAGTTTAAATTTATATAATTCTCAACAAAAAAACGTGTTGAGGAATGGGAACGGTGGGCCTGCGAGAAAATTGGATTTTAAGTCGTGTAAGTTGATGACAAATAGCAAACAGATGAGAAAAGATGTTACGGATTATTCTTTTTCTTTTTTCATTTTTTAGCCAAAAACAAAAAATTATTGGAGCTTCTGATTATGAGATGGGCATGTGATTCTGTACTGGGCAGCCTTAGATCCTGATGACCTGTCAATTTATTCAATAATATGATATAATTTTTGACTTTTGTATGTCATCAATAATTTTATCAAAATAAATATCTGTTTCCACTTTCATTTCAATCAAGGAAGGCGATCATATATCATAGAATATTAAACAATTCTTAGTACACGTGACTCCTATTATTGATACACAGGGCATTATTACTTTATTCCCTTCTCTCATTCCAAGATAAAATATTATATTTGTCAGAGAATTCAAAAGTTAAGTGTACGCGGGTGATCGAGTCCCACAATCCTACTTCCACAACTGATTATTAATTTTAATTTTAAGATTAATTTTTTTTGAACAATTTAATATTAATATTAATTTTCTTCACCACTTGTCAAGTTTCTCTCCTCCTCCATCTTCTTCTTCATCATTTCCTGGAAATAATAAGAAAGAAAGTAGCGTATAAAATACGGTCCAATTATTGAAGAACCGGCCGGTCCATGATCTTTTGATGAAAGTGAAAGGTAACCAAGTAGCTAGCCTATGACTTTAAATTTTTCAATGTGTAGCCCACCAAACTAGGAAAAAAATAATAATGAGACAGGAATAGTTAATGCTAGGATGACTTGCTAATTGGTTGATCAATTTAATTAAAAGTCTCGAGTTTAAATTTTAGATATACATCAATAACTAAATTTGTTGTCAGAGATACTCACAAGTTGTTAAATTAATCCTGATAAAAAACCAAAGATACCGATAGGAAAATAAAAAAGTGCTAGCTAATAAAATTTCGAAGGTTGAAATTTAATTTTTCATGTGACATTATATATTAGGGGATAAGGTTGAATTGCATGTACATATATAGAAGACCTTATCAAGGGTCTCTGGAATTAATAACATGGCATGTCCCTTGTTTGAAGGTCACTACATCACGGAGCCTTTTAGGAAATATCCCTTAGGAATGTGAATAGATACTAATTTTGGCTTGCTTGTGAATCTATGCTTCCCTATATTTGTTTATTTGATAATATATACTATGTGGGGTATTATTATTCATCTCCCATGGCTCAACCTCGAAACTCATGCACATGCTAACTAATCTATGGGATAAAGCTTCTTGAAACTTGCAACTTAAGGTATGTTTGATGGATAGAATATTCAAGAATAAAAAGATAGGGAGATAAAAATAAATTGGTGGGTTAAGTACATAAAAGGCAGAATTACATTTAAGAGCCACTCAAATAAATTATTTAGAGATGACAATCAATACGAAATAGAATATTGCTGTTAAAAGGAAAATATGGCTTTTTTTTCCCCCTCAAATGGGACATGTTATTTATATTTATTTATGAATAATTTTCTTGAGTGATTCTTGAATGTGATTCTCAAACTAAGAGTTTGAACTCTACGGATAGAAGAAATACTCAATGTTAGGGATGATGATACTTAAATATAATTCAAAAATATCTTGTGGAAATTAAAGAGATAAAAATATATGGATCTTCTAAAATTGAAAAATCATAATTTTTATAAATTTTGTCTTTTTTTTCAAAAGAATAATAAAATAGAAAAAATACTAAAAAAAACTTCACAAATTCTTGAATATCAAATTTAGAGATTTTAAGTAAAAAAATGATATAAGAAATGACTACCGCATTTAATTTTTTTTTTTTGTTTGGGAGACGATTTAAATAAATAACTGTGATAAATAACTATCAAAAATACAAAATAATGTATGAATTGTTCAAACCCCCTATTTTTCGTAATTTGATTACTTATTAACTTTTATAATTCCAACCAAACATGACCTCATATACGATAAAATAAATGTGATTAGTTGGTCCATGCTCAATAAAAAGTAGCAGATCCCTCGTGATGATCACCTTTTTCCATGTGATTGTGTAACCCACTTTTCAAATACACTTCAACCACACATCATCTTTCTGCCAAGCAATGATATTATATCACATATACCAGTATAATTTAAACCTTTATTTTAATTTACATTTTTTCGCCTCATTAATTAGTAGCAGAAATTTTAGGCCTGTTTAAAATTATTTTTGTTTTATTATTTTAAGAATTGATATTTTGTAAAATATATTTTAAGAATAAAAAAATATTTTTTTCATTTACTCTTATTCTCCAAAACAATAATCCCAAAACATTAAAAAAATATTTTTATTTTTCTATTCTCTAAAATAATATTTTTTTTCAAAACACTTTTTAAAGACATATTATCAAATAGTATTTTTTATTTGTTTGTTCTGAAAAACAAAAAATTATTTTCAGAACAAGATATCATACTGGCCCTTAATCACTGTTATATCCACATCTTCTACGAGGGACACAATATATATGCGAGGTATTTTTTTTTTTAAATTTCTGTAATTGGCTCGTCGATCTCCATTAATAAAGGTGTAATTTTCTGAACCAGTCAATATTAATATAGAATCAACTTGTCTGTTTCTTTCTTTGTTCCTTGACAGTAAATACAAATTTATTTATTTGATTTTGGTAATGAGTGTGATTTATAACTGTTGCCTCTTTCCATCCCTAATATATATACTTCTTAGAAAGGAAAACGATAAATGAGTAAAGTAAAAGTTTGTACAAATATATGATATTTTATATATATATATATATATATATATGTATGTATGTATGTATGTATGTTATCTATATAGCGTATCGCTCTGCTTTTAAGAATCATGTAGTTTGGAACACACACACACACAGAGGCTTGCGTATATAATATCTGTATGATCTAAAAGGCTATTTACATTATTCAGGCAAAAAAGAAGAAGAAGAAGAAGCCTATATACAGTCTCATATATTCATCCTTTGTTTAAATTAAATTATAATAATGAAATAATGGCACAGAAAATTAATTAATAGACTCATTATTATTGCATCCAAAAAAATTGGTAATTTCATCAAGATAAATAGTTTGATATCAATTATATTCTCATCGATAGTGCTTTGTAAAATTTCGGTTTCTTTTCCTGCTTTTCCTCTCTTTCATTTGTCTTCACATGCAGTTCATCGAAAAGGTACAAAACATCCTTGTGAACTGATATATTTCCAGCTATGTATAAGGTTCAAAATGAAAGGAAGAAAGGAAGATAAATTCTTGCCGTTTATGCTGAGTTCATGAATGAAGGAATATTCCATACGTTCGAGTTATTTCACACACACACTTGAATGATTTGCCTACTCTCTCTCTCTAGTCTGTGATCCTATCTCGTACCATAAATAAACCCTCGCTAGGTAGACAAAGTCATAAGGACAATAAAAGAGCGACACATGTACTGCTGGCCTGGCTGGCTAATACATTAAATTTATCGTACTTAATATTGATGCTGTTTTTCCATGATAATACTGTAATAATCTCTTCCACTATGCCACATGACATCTCGTCTTGTCTAGTTTGTGACCTGACACAAGAAATCAATAATTACCAACACGTTTCATTATCATCTTCTTAGCTTAGAGCAGGTAATTTCTTCTCATTTCTGAATTCCTTTACATGACGCCAAACTACACCAAAAAGCCCTAGCTAGCTCTAGCTATAGGCTAGGCGTAGCATCTAAGTTTCACAACTACAACACACACACGCACACTCACTCTCTCTGCGTATGTACCATTATTTCTACATATGAACTCTTAACCCTTCGTAGAGTTCACCATGCAAACTTAGCTACTTAACATTTGAAGCTAAACCTGAAGAAGCGAGATCATCGATCGTTTGTATTATGTGTAAAAGATATATGACTGTAATCTTCTCTTTCAATATCTATCTAAAGCCTTCTTTAAGAGACCCAACTTTTCCATTCTTTCAAGCTAAAGAACAAAACTAGCAGGGAGATCATATTTAAAAAGACAATATTATGTCATATGCATGCACGCATTCGCATCTTGTTGCTAATTAAACCTAACCCTAGCCTAGAGCTAGTTACTTATCCTACGCATGCTTGACCTCAACCTTTAAGTGTGAGAATTGATCATCTATATATGCGTTTGTTTTGTGTGTGTGTGTGTGTGTGTGTGTGTGTGTGTGTGTGTGTGATATGTAACTAGCTCACGTTTTTCTTTCATGGCTCTCTATGATAGCTAAATTTCCTGGCACAATAGGAGTTAAGAGACGAATAGTGTTGGGGCAAGGCGACAGAAATAAGAGACCAGATTTCACCTTAAAATAGACAAAGCAAAAGCAGCATCATCGAAATATTAATGCGCATGGTGCTCAATTTTGGAAGCTAAGGGGGTCCAGTATCTGTATTCTGTACCTTTTGAGTACAATGGAGGATCTCATTATAATAAAAGAAGGAAAAATTAAACAAAATGCAAATAGTAGTGTTTTATTTATATAGGACCACACTCCCAAACTTATGCTATCAAGTTTAATTGTGTCCTGGTTTAATTTGATTAATTAACAGTATTTAATATATCAGGAACAGGAAGAGAAAAAGTTGTTCATCGATCAGAACATTGATTATTGCCGAAGGTCGTAAGTCAGAATCCACTAATTGTACAACTGAGCGTGTGACGCATTATAGTCAGATTACGGATATATAATATGGCATCACAGAATAATATCATACGAAAGATCTCCTAAGTTGCATGTGAAATGAAGCTCTCTCTCTCTATGTATATATCAATATAATTCAATAATTTTTTTAAGAAATTGAATTTCAATACCTGTACGAATGTCATATTTAAATTTCCATTACCAGATAGTATTCTTTTGAATTAAGAAACACGTATTTACACAGCTCACGGGAAGAAGATGGAAGAAAAAACTTCATTTGTTATCAACAATAAGTTATATCACCTATTCATCGTATATTTTTTGATCTAAAGGATACATGATCAATGTTTCACATAGATTCTAAGAATTGAACTATATTATTTGTGTGGGGATTATGCATAATACAATTTGCTGGATGGAAGTACAGAAATCTTCGTATTTTCAAGATACTGTTCATACAGTAATGTCATTTCATTTTCCTTTGGCTTTCGTTGTCCTCCTTATTAATTACTCGATCTTGTTCTGTCTACGAGTCACAGCTTTGACAGGAACAAGAAAAAGTGAGTGAAATCCAAGTTTGAGAGTACTCATTTGATAGCGATGAGGCACAAAATAACATGTGCAATGTGGCAACACCAGACCAAAAGTTGGCCACCAAAACCATAAATATATGCTCGTTCCGTTCATTCAAAATTATAATAAAATATTTTTAACTAATTACTTTCAAACTTTTAAGAAAACAGTATTAATATAATTAAAAATTACCTATTCTTTTCAAATATTTATTAAGAACATTTTTTAAAAAAATTCCCTCAATTACTTATAAAAAACACCAAAATGTTTTATATTTTTAAACCTAGCGATACATCTAAATTGATTTTGAACGGGAGGAAGTACTTCCCGTAGGACTGAGATTTTCATTACCATTGATGTCCTACAATTTGATTTACAACATAACATCTTCATCATACATAGTCCCTGTCTGCACTTTGCATGATGTTTCTGCCAACATATTGGACCACATTTACGCTAAAATGCACCTATGACAGCAGCAAATATCCAACACGACACAGCAGTTTTTAAGCCATATTTAATTAACTTCTTCCAGTAGTGTTTCTCATTTAATGATTAATAAATGGTCATTTTACTGATAGTTGATTACTAAGCTTTATTATTAATTACATTCTGAGAAAGGGTGGAACAGTTCTTTCATGCTGCTGCACGCAAGCAATTCCCCACAAACAGCAAGATGGAGGATTTATTAGAACATTACACCAGCAGAGCACATCACTATCATGTTATTTATGAATTCTATTATTTATAGATGATTGAGAGAGTACTGCATCAACGAAAAATATATAATTCAAGCAATTTCCCAAAAAATGTTCCTCAGTTAATTACTTAGGGAGCAAGTAGTAAATACATGACTCTCAAACTAGCACAAAATTTACGAACTCCTATTAGGACACCTTCACATTTTGTTTTCTCTTGAGAAAAGCATGAATGTTGTAGCTGATAAAATCAATCTGAAAAGCTGTTCGTACGTTGAATGAAACAAGAAGATAAGTGTGTGAATAGTGGAATAAACCTTTTACTTTAGAGCATGGAGGCTTTAAAGTTTCAATGAATAATACACATCTGTCTATGATCGTTTTTTTTATATTTATATTTTTTTCTTCTCTCGTCTGACAGGCTCCACATGGTAACAGAGAGACTTGAAACTTTCCAAGACCACCCACCCACCCACGTTATTTTGTCCACATGGGAAGTGGTATGAAATGGCCATAGCTAGCAGATCTGATTCACACATTCACACACAACCTATCCCACTTTTTCCCTCTCCCTCTCCCTCTATTTTATTCACTTCTTTGTTTTTTTAACATCTCACAACTTGAACTCTCAGATTTGACCCCCAAATTCCATACTTCTTCCCCTCTCTCTTACGTAATGTAATTAAGGAGGTTGTCACTGCTCATTATTATTATTATTAGTTCTATAGAGTATTCAACACATCTCCTTTCATATATATATATATATATATATTATACTTCGCCCTCTAGCTCCCTCTACTTGACAGACCAGGAGATAAAACTATTCCTTGCTCTCAGAAAAAAGAAAAAAAGACATCTTTTCTTGGGGCTATCAATCTTCTTTTCTGCAGTTTGGGAGTTTGTAATCAGAAGAAGAAGGTGGTGGATAGAGGTAGCATTTGGGGATTGCTTCGTTTTCACTGCTTCTTGTTCCTTCTGCTTTTTTTGCAGAGAAACGTTCTCTCTCCTGTTGTTGTCTGAAAACCCAACATCTGAATTTATATGATTTTCTGTTCTGTTCCTCTTTCTCGCTCTGTTTGAACGTGCTCTGTTAATCCTGTTCATGGACATTCTCTTCTGTTCTGGGGATTTATTTTCCATATTCCTATGCTTCCATGTGTAACTGACAAAACCAACTCAAATTGAAATCCCCAGAACCAAGTGCTGTTCCTTCCATTCTATGCAAGTCTTAGCCACTTCGAATGGTTTCTGATTTCAAAATCCAATCTTTTCTTCTCCAAACAACCTGACATTTCAAAATCCAACATAAAAGAAATTGAAGAGAAGAAGTAAATATGTCCAGAAGATCATCCAAATCAGTGAAGGGTGAGAAAGCAGATTTGCAGAAGCAGATTGGGTGCATCACGGGATTGTTTCAGCTCTTTGACCGTCACCGTTTCCTCGCAGGTATTTTACATTTTACATTATACCTAGTTTCTGCAATTTTCATCTGAACGCGATTTTGATGGTTTAATTAAATTTACATGAATATGATTAACTTATAATAAGGGAGAAAATAGTTACTCGAACACAAAAAGCTAGGCTTGACGTGCATGTTAAAATCACTTTCCTCAGCACATGTCAGTCAAATGCGTCCACTCGCATACTTTTCTTTTGTTTTGGTGGTAACAGTCTGTAACCCCGCCTAGTACCTAGCTTTACATGTCCAACTAAAGGCTTTACCTGTTTGTGTTTGGTTCCATTTTAATAATTTCACTAGCACTTCTGTTTTATTACTCATTCTTTATGCCAATGTTTGTTCTAATTTCTGTGGTCGAACTTCGTAGTTTTGGCTGTTCATGGCAAAGTTTATTTTAGTCTTGTTTTTTTTTTCCCTCCGCGTTCCAATTGTAATCTACAGAATTTACAGTGCTTTTTTTTTTTTTTGGTTGTACGCGCACATATATATAATCTTATTATTCTGTGGCGTAGTCTTTAATTTGGCTGCCAAATGCCATGGATAATTTCTTTTGGCGCTTTTTATGGGACTCATAACAGAGTCTGGAAATTTTCCAATAGGATGCCCGAAATGTTCTCCTTCAGAAGTTTCTTCTTTTTACAGAATTCTAAAATTTTATTTTATTTTTTATTTTTTAAACACAATGACACCATGTCGTCTTCAACAGAATAAGAGGCGAGGATGCCCACAGTCTCTGAGCTCTTAGGACGTAATTCAGCTCCAGTCATTTCGTTTTCCTCGTTTAAAACAGACATGACAGATACCCTGACTTGCCATAAATGCCATCGGTCAAGTTTACAGTCAGAAAGTGACAGACATTACAATTTCCCAAAGATTAAATTAATAATAATTAGATTTATTTTTAAAAAAAAAAACATGAATTCAAAAGATAAAAATAAAAATCTCAATCACAAGTTATATTTATTTAAATTTATATTTACAATTTATTTTTAATTGTAATTAATTTTACTATTATTAATTTATTCTTTTAAGACCTAATTATCGTTAATCCATTACTTTTTAGTGATTTATGTGTCATTCTTCCTGCTCCATCCACATAGTACATGTCTTTCATTGGATCTGAATCATAAGAATATGAAACCTCGGGTACGGAACGGCTAGGAATTCTCAGCCAATAATTTATGCGGCACAAGGTTCTATAAACCTATATTCAGATCTTTTTGTTGTTAAAGATGATATAAGTATGCATTGTTAGTATGTATGTATACGTGTCAAAACTGGATTGATTTTGTTGGGTTGGGGGGGGGGGGGGGAGAATGAATTCTGTTATTTTCTAAGAAGTCAGGATTCTCTGTGCCATAACATCATTGCACCTTTCACATTTCACCTGAGAGAGAGTCTTGTTATCAAATTTGTGCCTTGCTGGGTAAATATAACATACACACACACTGAAAGATAATTTACAAAAGGCTTATGGGAAAGACAAGGTCAAAATTTTATGAGGTTTATGATATTAAATTAAAACCCAGAATGTCCCTCCCATGATTAGGTGGAAGCAATGATCAAATCAGAGAGTTTAGCACTACTATGCCGAAAGCAAAGGTAAGATAACAGTGTTTTATTTTATTTTATTTTTAAAATTCTTTAGAGAAGTGTGGCAGAACAATTTAAGAACTCGTTCGCATGACTGCAGGCAAAAAGTCTCAAGGCTGCCAGAGAGAAGCAACAATTATCCACGGAATCATCAACCAGTTCTGTGTCTACGTCGTCTTGTTCGTCTAGCATGTCATCCGTTGAGTTTAGCAGAACAGTTCAGGTAGAAACACCATCAATCCCTCGGATAAAAATTCCAGAAATCCCCACTCCAAGAGCAGCACCGAAGCGACTAGAAACCCTAGGCCATCAATCTCATGATTTGCGAGCTAATGCCAAAGACTCAAAGCGTAGAGAAGCTCAGGGGCTGACAGTGAAAACTGTGGCTAAAGAGGGCAAGAAGGGAGGTCATACCTTGAAATACATAGACTCCCCCAGGCCTGAACCTTTTCAGACCTCCAAATCTGTGAATGCAGGAGTTATGGTTGCCAAAGAACCCTTGCACATTCTTCCAAAGTCCCAAAAAGCTCCATGGGATTCACCACGACTTTCTTATGACGAAAGGATTACACAAGATACATTCAAATCAACAGCGAGACACAAGGAACTCCCAAGGCTTTCCTTGGACAGCAGAGCAGGATCCATTAAAAGTTTGAATGAAGGCACAAGATCTCGCAATCTTCTGAAGGGTCCACAGAGAGGGTATGAAAGCTGCAGCACATCGATTAATCAGCAGCAAGAGCTGGACACCTCGCGAAGACAATCCAGCGTTGTAGCAAAGTTAATGGGACTGGATTCCTTCCCAGACTGCACACAGACTGGTGAGACTATGGAGACTTCAAGCTATACTGCCAGTAAAAAGGAGCCCCTGTCAAGAGCTAGCACAAGTGATGAACGCTACCGTCACCAAAGTTATGGATCCCCCAGAAAATGCAAGGGGTCCCCCTCGCTCCAGCATGGAAGGACTGGTTCAACCATGAATGGCATGTCATATTTGCAATTCTCGCAAGACCCCACTCCCTGGAGGCAAACTGATGCAAGCCAAAGCTCCCAATTTCCAGATTCTGATGATACGGAATCTGCAATAAAGGCCACAAGTTCCTCCCACTCTGTATATGCAGAGATTGAGAAAAGGTTGGCTGAGCTCGAGTTTAAAAAGTCAGGAAAGGATCTCAGAGCCCTCAAACAGATTCTTGAAGCCATGCAGAGATATAACCATTCATTAGGTATTACAAGAGATCAGGCTTCAGATTGTCCATCTGACAACATTAGCACAAGCAGTCTCAGTGAAAGCTCAAAAGCACAAAGCCCAAGAAACCGACGAAAGGACCCAAAATCTATCTCAACTGACAGGTCAAATTCACCCCACGAGAGTAAATTGCCAATTATCATCATGAAACCAGCAAGAGTTAAAAGAATTTCAGCATCACCAGATATGTCAATTCAAGGTAAACCTGGCCCCAGCGAGTTTCCACCTTGTAATCCCACAAGCAGAAGATTGGTTGACAGGCAAAAAGATAAATATATTACTCCAACAATCAGACATCTTAATGATCCTTCAAGTCAACCCCCTCATTCAGCCAACAGGAGTGATAAGATAACAACCTCAAAATTGATGGAAGCCTCAAGAATTCCTCGACACCTCAATGGAGAAAACATCAGCTCTGGTAATAAAACAGAGACTGACAGCCCAAGACTGCACAAGAAGTTTGGTTGGGAGAGGCGTTCCCTGCCAACACCATCAAGTTGCAGCAGTGACAGAAGACAAAACAACAGGCGCCCTCTAGAATTATCCTCCCCAAGGACAACACCAAGACCAAAATTCTCAACTTTGCATGAAGCAAATGAACACTTCAGTAAGACCATCTGTCCTAGAAAGGATTTCAAGGATAATGTTGATGCAATATCTCCAGATTCTTACACAAACAAAAGGCTGGTCAATCATAGCAACATTAGAGTCATTCACACTGATCAATCAGAGACCAGTAGAACCTCCTTCCTACTGAATGAGCTGAATTACAATGTAAGTTCTCTCTCTAAAAATTCAATTTTATGCATTCAAATGAAATTACTTGTACTTAATATTATTTCATTAAGCAGAAAGCAGCAAAAGGGTTGAGCAACGAAAGCTCTCTGTCTGAAATAACAGTTATCACAGAACAACCAAGTCCCATCTCAGTCCTTGATGCTGCATTCTATAGAGACGACACACCATCTCCAATAAAAAAGAAATCAGCCATCTCAAAAGATTCAGGTATTGCACATTTCATTTCTAAATTTCTAAATCTTAAATTCTTCTGAGCCCAATAGTCACTACACCCATAACTCTTTTTGAGTGACCTTCAAAAAACCATCCAAGAAAGGATTGACTCTCATGTTGATTCTCGTCAAATTTATTACTACAGATGAAGCTCAAAATGCTGACGATGAAAAGGAGAACTCAACAGAACTTACCAGCACCACAAAATACAACTTCAGCAATTGGGCCAGTGATGGAGACTTAAACACTCAGTATTTGGTTCAAAAACTTCAAGAAACAGATTGCCCACACGATAAAGCCATCAATTTCATTGAAACACTCAGCGACAGTAAAGATCCTGATCATAAATACATATCTGAAATACTGTTTGCATCAGGTCTTCTCAGAGGCCCAGGCTCTAGCCAGACACTTCATTCATCACCCCACCTGAATGGCACAAAGTTGTTCTTCGCACTAGAACAAATCAAGACAAAGAAGAGGCTTTGTAACATTGAAGACAATGCCAAGACGGATGAGCAAATGCAAAGAAAACTCATATTTGATGTTGTTTATGATATATTAGTTCAAAAACTGATAGTTGAGAATTCCCCTAGTCAGTGGTTTCTTCCACATGAGTTGGTGGGTAGAAGACTGAGAGGACAGCAGCTTCTATGCGAAATTTGCTCAGAATTTGACAAGTTGCGTCACCAAAAGAATGCCAGCCTGGCGAAGGAGGATGCGAATTCGACAAGCCTCTTGTGGGGAGATTTGATGCATCAACCCACAATTTGGACAAAGTGCCACAGTGAGATCCCAAATTTAGTGTTAGACATTGAACGGTTGATCTTTAAAGATTTGATAAATGAAGTTGTGAGAGGTGAAGTAGCAAATCATCCTGGCAAACATTGCAGACAACTGCTGTTTCCCAAGTAGGAATGATGGCTAAGCGGTTTTACAAGAAATATGGTCTTCATTTATCTTCCTTTTTCAGCAATACATAATACTTGACTGACATTATAACCCTCGTTTCCTATGAATTCATGCAGAACAATTGGTGCCTAAGTAACCTCTTCATTCTACATGTGTTTATATTCCCTTGTTGATAAAATACATGTAGAAATGCATATAAATGTATATATCAGTAGTCAGTGTGCTGAGCTTTGCAAGTTCTATTCTATATGTCTTCAATTTATCAGAGTCAGCCACGGAACAAGTACATCTGTCTGGCTTTCAGGACTGCAGAGCAATCTGTTCTCAATGGTAGTGCAGCTACAGTGCATTAATACTCACCCTATCTGTTTCCTCTCAACTGGCATCCTGCCAACAACCATATTCACATAATTGCATGACATGGGAAGATAATTCATATACTCAGTGCCTGATCTAAGCCTGCTAAGATTCCGGAAATATCTCAACACCCATCAAGAACAAGAACAAGTAATTGCGTTCACCATCAACTGTGTTCTTTTCATACAGTAAACAGAATATTGTGCCCTGGTACACAGATGCTCATCCATAACATAGGATGTTGAACATATACTCAAAAACACACACATCCTGCCTCCAAGAAGACATTAGAGTTCAAAAATGACAAAGCATCTTCACACACACGCAATGGTCTATAGAAGAAACCTGAGATTTAAGAAATATAATTAACCCCCCTTTTAAAAGAACAGAGTACAAGACATCTCATACATTAAAACACCAGTCAACTTGTATCCTTTTTCACTCTAGGTATTTTTCTCTAGGGCATTCAAGGAAAGAAAGGAAGGGGAGGGGGGAGGGCATAACTACTTAAATCTCATTTCGTACTCAATACCATATGTCATCCATCTATCTCATGCTAATTTAGAAAACAGAGTAACACCTAAGTAATTAGAAGGCTATTCAACAAGAAAAGGTTGTACTGAAAGATATGATGATAAAAGTCCTAATCACATCATGAATCCAGGATGGACACTTCCAGCACTGAGAAAAGATAACCCACCTCAGAGCCACACTGTACAATAAACATATTTAAAATACTGATTATTTAATTAAAAAAAAGGGAAGCGGAGGGACAGACTATTTGGTCATAGATGAGAATCCTAAAATGAAAATCTTAAATAATTATAATTATTAGTATTAACTAACTTATAATCACGTGAACTCAGCCGTTTGCTACTGAAATATGTATAACTGAAACCATGGGGAATTAATTTTGATGATAGCGAGAGGAAATTTATATATGCATACAAAAACAAGTAAAAACATACAGGCATGCATGAACATACACATCTAAATATTACTTGCAACCTTTAAAAGAAGAGTTTATCTGCATAATCACTAGTTCCTTTATTTTTTTAAAGGACCATTTTATATTGCAAATTGTCATATCATGTCATATACTGGTTCCTAATGCTCCTTGTCTCCACTTAAGCTTAATAGACAACAACAATAACTCCACATATGTTGCAATGATTATATTATGTCAAGATAACAATAAAGAGTTAGGTCAACTCCCTATATAGACAAGAAAAGAAGTAGGAACTAAACTCACAAATACTTGTCTATATTTATTTGTAGTTTAAATGTTAAGCAACAACTCTGTAATAAGGAAGCTATTGTGTGTGTAGACTTCACAACAACGACCAGCAGCAAAAGACAAAGCATATTGCCAAGCTTATTATTTGAAGTCATCTTCAGCACATATTTTATTACAATATGAGGAAATTTGAGGTGGTTTGGATACCAAAATAACGGAATGTAGGCTGTGACAAGACATGCCATAGGTAGCATGTACATGATATGCAGCTAGGCCTCCACTAAAATATCGATGTGGTAAAACAAGTCTTGTAGAACAGTTATTTCAAGTATTTATAAACAAGGTGAAGAAGAATTTAAATGATACAAGTGAACTCAACTACTTTTTTATGAGATGGTTTTTGTGGCGCACAGTTTCAGGGCAACAGCTACAAGTCAGAAGTAGGGATGCTTTTAAATGTTGTTCAGTACAAGATCTGAAAGAATGAGAACAAATTTCAATGAAAAGAATCATCATTTGATTTGCCAAACAATTGACAAGCACATACCTCAAAGATTGTTAAAGTGGGAACATGTCTCTGCAAAATAGTAACACCCATCCTATAATCCCCAAAAGCAGACAAGGGCCTAGAATGCACTATCCCAGAACTAGGCAACTAGCTATCCTGACAGTCTCCTGAACAAGTGTACAAGTTCACTAAAAGCAACATATATTACAACTGAACAAGCTCATCTGGATTTTCTAAAGATTCCCTCAGAATTTTCTCGGCCCTCCTTTTCTTATCATCCTTCTCATCTTCCATTACAAACCATGGCAGAGTATTCTTATCTTTTTCATTTTGTGGACCCAAATCTACCAACCTACCTACAAAATTCTTTTTTATTCCAATCTTAAATTGCACAGTAGGCCTCCTGTTTAAAAGAAGCTTACTCTGTTCTTCCTCAAAATCACACTGCGGGCTTTTCATTGCTTCAATTGCTGGAGCAAATGTGTCCAGCACCGAAATAGATTTGCCTTCAACATAATCTTCCACAACAGGGTTTGCTGCAGTTACGTCATTGAAGAGCCTTGCAGGAGGGGTCACAGAAGCCACTTCCTTCTCCCCAAACTGCAGAGGTGCAGCAAAGAATGGGTTGCTTTCCCCTGCTACTTTTTTGGCCTTTTCATTAGCTGTATCAATCAATGTAGACTTTTCAACCACATTCGGCACCATCTGTGGCTGCAAATTGAACAAATACTGCTCCCCCTTGCCATGCTTTCTTTCCAGGTCAATTCTGGCAACATCAGATTCTGTCCCTCTCTTATTCCTTGTAGGAGAACAAGAATATGTTTGGGGGTCAGGGAAAACAGGCAACCAACCAGGTATATGCTCGCCAGGAGGCTCTTCACCCATTTGTGAAAAGCTTGGAGTCAGGGCCCGTTCTTTCACAACTGGAAACTGTGGGACAGCATAGGTAAATGGAATTGGCTCGGTTTCAGTCACAAACTGAATAATGTCTCGAACAATGCCTGAACTTCCGACACAATGATCTATATCGGAGGCACCTAAGAACCCCTGTGCCGATCCAATGTCTTCCAACCCTTGCATGACATCAAAAACATTGCATTCAGTTCTACCTGCAAGATTAGCATGGTAACGTGCAGTTTTCCCTATGTTCTGAATATACCGAACTGCAATGTCAGATAGTGATTCAAGAGATGACTGTTGAATAGTATGAAAACCCTCACTCTCACATACTTGCGCTACCGCAACTTTTGCAATTGCTTGAGCAAAGTCATCACCGCCCAATTTTCTCCGCGTGTTTGGTTGTTCAAGCTGTCTTCCAGTCTCCCCAGCACCATCGCCCATATTCAGCACTTCACATCACTTGAACATGGTATAAACGCCCAAAAGCACCATTCTTCACTCCAGAAATCTCAAGGGTCAAATCATTAGGATTCATTCGGCCACTCAATCATAGCCATCGCTGAGAAAGTAAAGAAAATGGTTAAATTTCAGATTATCCATTCCATGATAGAAAAAAGGAGAGAAAAGAGTAACTAACAGAGTTCAGCTAAAAGCAAAGATTTGACTGTTCATCGGGATCCATTTTTCCCACCAATACGGATTAAAAAAATAAAAATAAACTTCCATCCATTACTCAAGCGAAACTCCTCAGCTTTATCGCTTCGGAAAGCCCACTAAACTACTAATCAAAATACCCAAAAAAAAATGATGATAATAAAGAACGAGCCCAAACCCTAGCTGGTCTCAGTTAGAATGCCAAAGAAGCAAAGTCTTGATTCGAGGGAGGAAAATTTAATTGAAAAACAGTTTCGGGCTTACCAGTTATTTGCAAGTGTTGATTCGATCTCTTGCATAAAAGACTCGAGTTGAGAGACTAAAAAGCGTTCAGAAAGGATTGACGAGACAGACAGTACAGAGTAAACATGCTGTTACGAAAAAAAATGAGGAAGAAAAAGGAATGATTTAGGGTTTGGGTCAGGTTTTGCCTAAACCCTCGTAAAGCCAAGGATCGAGAAGAAAAAGATACTAGGCGAACAGGGTGACCCAAGCAGTAAGTGAGAGAGAGAATGAACGCTTTGATTTTGGAAGGGAGCTGCCGAGGTGGTGGAGGAGGATCAAGCTCGAACACTGAAGTTGGAATTTTAGACTTTGGAAAAATGAGATAGATTGAACCTCCAATCTCAAACGTAAACGACATCGTTTCGCAGCGAAGACCCGACACTCATAACCGAAATTCTGTTTCTGCCAAAGGTCGGTTAGAGTGCAGAAGCCATATATAGAGTAGACTTCTATTTCTGTGAAATGATGTGCCTTTCATTCTGTAACTAATGATTGTTCTCCTTTCTTCCATCCAATGCTTTACACATTTTGGGCGAGCGTTTTTTATTCTCTTCGTTTATAAAACAAATAAATTAGTCCTTTTTTTGGACAAAAATTCAATTGGTCTTTGAATCATTTAAAATCTAGCTTCTGTGCGTTTTTGTTTATATGATTATGGTAAAGCAATAGTTTGTTACTGTAATATTTTCAATGGGAATTATCTTAATTGAAATCTCTGTTCATTTCTCGCTCCACTTATAATGATGATCTTAATTAAAATTTAATAAAAATGATCTCAATTAAAATAATACACAAATTAATATATATTAATTATTAACACTTTCCATTATTTAAGCACTTTAAAATTCAATTATAAGGTTTTTTGAGATATTAATTTCACAGCTTTCGATTGTGAAGATATCTTAAATAACAAAAAAGAAAAATTTTAATTATAAAGAGTAAATTATCTGAGTTAAGATGATTCAAACTTCATTTTTTTTCTCTATAAATTTGGTTTTATTGTTTTTTATTTCAATAGAAAATATCAGTTGAGAGGACATCTTCGTGTAGAGAAAGAAATAAAAATTTGATGAGTCTTATATACATGTACATATACATATATATATATATATATATATTAAATCTCTCCTTTTCTAAGAGTTTGTAACATGAAACCAAACCCAAACATACTTTCCAATGTATTAAAGGCATAAATAACTTTTTATTTGCATTCAAGTGCTTTCCAATACATTGGAAAGAGTGTTTTAGGGTAGCATCGCACTAAAAGATCTTGCAATTGAAAAGAACCGTGGAACGAACAAAGAAGTGCTTAGATTCCGGTAAATGTTGAGTGCACTGCACATCTTAACTCTAGAAATTAAAACAACATACTGTTTCATTTTCATTCCTTAATTTCTCTTTACTTTGGTTAAACGTACAAACATTGTTGCTGAATAATAAGTAATAACGGAATCTGCATAATTGTATCCCAAGCTTGAACAACACAAGCAATAATGGTTTAAAACAAATGAAGATTAACAAGAATCCAATGCCTCAAACATGTCCGAAACCTTCTTGCACTTGTCGCTCAACTTAATGCGGTACTGATGAGCAAGCTTGTGAAGTTGACCCAGGCTGAAATTACCAGAATCAGGTTTCATGATTAAACAGTTGAACTTAAACATTCTCTTCTTAGACAAAACATACAAGTTGAAGTTGAATGCTTTACCACACATGCATTGACATCGTCACACCCACACAAGAGCTTCCCATTAAGAGTGTCCACAGCTTGAAATGATCCTCCTCCTTCACTCCTCTGTGCAGATCAGAATCATATCAGCTTGATTAACAGTAGATGACACCAAAAGTGAAAGCTTTAGAAGAAAACACTACAAGGGGAAGAGAAGAGTATAGCAAAAGACTCTACCTTGTAGTAATCAACAGCAACAAAGTTAGCCCACCGGCTGGCAGCAGCACCATAACAAGTACTTAGCATGTTAATGAGATCTCCAGAATTATCTTTACACGTGATGGGCTTGATCGGTGTGGATCGAAAATAGTTCACCAACACTAAAGTTTTGGTTTTGTCATCAAGAGCAGATGACTCTGCCCTGTTTGGACAACTTCCTGCTTTCATGCCACCATCACCATCTGCAGAAAACAAGGCCCCAAATAGTTGAATGCTTTGGTACAGAGAAGTGTAGAGAATTGAAGGAAGATATGGCTCTTACACTGGTTCTCAACCATGTAGTTCCACTGGTAAGCAATGCCTTCACTTTGTTCTTTAGATCTGACAGAAGTGAACACAAGCAATCTCTGGTTTTTGGAAACCATATCACTGACGAGAGGCCAGTCTTGACCATTCTTAGGCATGCTTGAGAGAGGAAACCAGTACTTCATGAGACCAGCATCAGTGAAGACCTTTGTTAAGCCTTTAGGAGCTTGAACGTAGTCTTCCAAGATCAGAGTCACAATCTCTGATGGGTTTGCCAATAGAAACGCCTCAATCTCTTTCAGGGTATCAAGAGCAGGTTCCTACTTGTTCATTCATCAGATTACCCTACCGAGTCAGCATTTTTCCGTGTTAAACCATGAAACCAAAACAAACGTGTGCTTACGTACAAAAGCTGTATAATCATGGCACTGTCCTCCGAATGAATGGCACAACCACACGTCTCCTTGAAAATCGTATGTATCTAGCATTAATGCTCGAACTCCGTTCTTCAAATGAATCATTTTGAGAGAGAAAAGAAAGGTGAAACAGATTAAACAAATGACTTAGAACTTAGAAGGAGAAATGAGAGCAGAAACTAAAGGTTGGTGGTTGAATATCATACATTTAGCTGCTGGGTGATAGTGTCTTCTTGGTTAGTGACGGTTAAGCGAGAAACTCCTGTGTGAGACGGCTCTCCATCAATGGCAAAAGCGTTGTGTGTTGTCAAAAATGCATATTTGTTGAATGGCAGAGAATTATTCTGTTGCCGCCCAAAAGGGGAAAAAAGACATAAATTAAGATAATCTGCCTTTAAATTCTTCTATATTGGTCAGATTTTAGAAATTGCAGAAATTTTTAATAGAGTTAAACTTGTAAAATATATGATAAATTTGTTCAGACTTCCTACAGGCTGCTTTTTATCAGTATTTTGTTAACTTTTACTATATAACTAGGACTTAGGGTGTCTCTCTGCTACACTCTTTAATGTCCTTGTTATCTTAAAATCTCATCCCTTTGAGAAAATTAGACAAAATTTCTCCGACCTGACCATTAGTTAAAATAAAGGGCTTGATACCCTGAATATATATAACCTATGTTGACAAAATAAATAAATAAAAAGGTAGATAATAAAGCAAAATTAATTAATAGTGATACAGTATTGAGACTAAAAATATATTGTAAAGAAAGATGTATGTATTTACAAAAATCTACTGTTAAGTGGACCCATGCTGCATTCTGCATTGGATGATCATACATGGGCCATAGTTCTTCGAAGAAAACATAACAGAATAAACTTGCAGCATTGTGCAAAAGGATAGGGATACATATGCAGAGGGAGATAGCATCGTACTTACAATGAGCTTGAACTGGTCTGTAATACCTGATCTTACACACCTAGAACCCGAGAATCCAAGAGGGCAGGAGAAACAGTACAGCCCCGAACCACAATCTCGATCAGAAGAACAGTCATCAAGAAGCTAATGAAAGAGTTCAAATTTAAACCACTGAAACATGGACAAAGTTAGAGAGGAGAGAAATTTGATTGGGAAAGGGGTGGAAGATACAAACCCTGCAAGTTCCATCAGAGCAAGCAGCAGCAACTGAAGCAACACTGTACAACAATGGAGATAGGACGAACAGCAGGCACAGCAGAGACCCCATTTTTGGACAAAATCAATTGGGTTTTGCAAGGAAGGAAGTTTTGTGTTGATTGGTGTCAGAAAACAGCCCAATGAGAGAATTTTCTGTGCCGACGGAGAAACCGAAGGAAAATCGTTGGTTTCTCAGAAACAGGAACATGCCAGGACAAGATGAGCAGGGTGGGGAAAATAACGCAAAAGAAGATTAATTCAAAGTTAGAACAAGAACTGTTCAACTTTTTGGGTTTTTCGGTGAAATGAAACGTAGAGGGTAAAGACATGGGAAGCGGAAATTTAGGAGATAAATGGCAAGTAGAATACGAACGTTAGGTTTGACAACAAAAGATTGCGGTTTCTCACCCTTGGTGAAAAGAGTAATACATGAACTGGCTTTTAACTGGTGAAGAGGACAATAATTAATAACTAATTCTGCTGTTTTTGCAAGTGAATGGACTTGTTGAGGTCTTTCAGATGAAATGTTTACATCAACCATGAAATCCCACAATAATAATTGATATGAATCATACAGAGCAGCATATTCTCTGGACATCCACGAGAGTCAATTTTCCAAGTCTGGTGTGAGTCGTGAGAATTAAAGAAACTAAAGTAATGGTATATTTTTGTTTTTGGTTGAAGTTGACAATGAGATATTTCTTTTCACACCCGACTTTTCCAAGTGTGGGTTCCCCATAATTAGGTGTCCAAGCTTGAGTTGTTGTTGGATGACTCGTCGTATTAGCCGGGTTGCTCATACTTCCTGTGTCAATTCAAATTCATTGAAATGCCACATGTGAGCTCCACGCTTCTTAAAAAGCTAGCAGTACGCCGTGCACGGGATATCCTTTATTTTTATACAAATTCATATCAAATAAAAGATAAAATATTGTACAATATTTTTATATATGAATAATCATTAAATTGTAAATTCTATACAAATATATTATATGATTAGGACATTAAAACTTATTAATTATCACCAACAAACATTAGTTAGTAAAATGGCTTATATAGTTGCTTAAATACGAGGTTTAAAATTTCAGTTTGCGTGAATGCAAAAGATGTGTTCATAAGAATTATCCTCAATTAAATCTAATAATACTTGAATTTGGCCCAATCATATAACCATTAAAAAAAACTTGTTGATTATTATTTATTATCATCTAATCTATGTACAACACGGCATATAAACATATTAAAATATATCTCTCATGATTATTTTTTTCTTTTAAATTAGAGTCTAATATTAAGCATAGTACTTGCTTGATATAAATAATGGTGTGGATGGTAGGGGTGTTTACGGGATAGAATTATGATGACCTTATCTTATGTCCAATCATGAAAAAATAGAAGGACTAAAATTTTTTTCTCATATCTCATCCCTCCTATTTGGAATTGAGATAGGATAGGAAAATCCCATAAAAAAATGATTATAGTTAAATTTGAAGATATAGTTAAAAAACTCTAGATATTTTCAATTTGTTTCGCAATGGATATAATTTTTGTTAACTCATCTTACCAATTAATAAGTTTTTTTATCAACTAAATTGACCATGTTCCGTGTGCTTCATAATTCATGCCATCCATACATTTTAGTTTAATGTCATGTAGGACACTGAAATTTATACATTGTCATTAATCAAGGGCAAGCTCCCTCTTTCAATGTTGGGATGTTCCGTCCCATCTCAAGTAAAATTTTGTGTTATCCTAATTTTTTTAAGAAAAAAATGTTGGTCTTAAAATTTTAAAATCAAGATTAAAACATATTTTCAAGATTATTTTAAGATATTTAGATATTTAAAATAATAGAAATATAAAAATTTGAATCTTCTTAATTTTTTAAGAAAATATCTATAACAATGTACTCAAATATATATGTAGTCTTTGGTACAAAATGAACTAAGTTTTAATTAATATTTAATATGTGTTATATATCTCGGCCAATATTTTTATGTTGAGTGACAAAAAAAATCAAATTTCCTAAGCATAACCCTAAAATTTTTTAAGAGATTATTTGGGTTAGGATTTGCATCACACTAATATTAGCCTTCGCGTACGCCATTGATTTTGTCTATACTAGTGTGGTGGTATTGTATAATAAATGCTTATAGTGCATTTAATGCAACGAGACTATAAATTACCATGTACTATTTATTTTTGAATTAAATGTGAAGTAATTCAATTACTCCCTCTTATTTTATTTATAAATTACTTACAAGATATTTTATTGAAATAAAAAAATTTAAGCTCCATTAATTTTGATTTTAAATTTATTGAGTTTCTACTTTTATTTTTAATAAGTATACATACTTCAAAATTAAAATAATGTAATACATTCACGAAAATATTTATATATAGTTTTATTTACAAATTAATTTATATTAATTTATTTTTTTCTTTTTATGAATTAAATTCAATTTTTATCTTAAAAATTAATTTTTTTCAAGTAAAATAACACTATAATGAATTTTTTTTATTTATCCTTATTAAAATGAAACCAATCATTTAAAGAATAAAAATGAAAGCATGTGAAGTGACCTCTTGTATTTATTTTTCTTTAATATTTTAAAAAATATTCAAAACAAACAATTATTATAACATTACAACTTCATTTAGAAGTATTTTTAAAAGCACTTTAAAGTGAATTTTCTTAACTCTCAATCTTATCCCTAAAACTTTTCAGACTTACCAACTCTAATTGATAGGGTCAATATATTCTCCCGTATAAATTTTCATATATTTATTTAAAATTAATTGTAACATTTTAATTTCTTGATTATGTCAAAGCATATAATAAAGATAAAATTTTTATTTAATGTTCACAGTACAAAATCTTCATTTTTTATCTCTTATATTATTTTATTTTTAAGTGAGCTTCTTAGCAATTATCATCAAAGCAAGTATTCTTAAATATCTAAAAATTTGAGTCCAGTACTTTATGAATATTATATGATAAAATCTTCAATAACCATTCGATTAAATTAAATACTTATTATTGTGTTACATAAGACATACCAAATCCAACTCATCTAACTCAACCCAAATTATCATTTTTGAGGAGCATAATTTATTTTCAATGTATGATGAGATTATGGGTGTGTAAATCAAATAACCAAGGAGAGAAAATCTCCAAGGAAAATGTAGTAACTGAACCCTTTTAATAATGGCACAATTAAGATTGACTTGAATTGAAATAAAATAAAATAATTAAAATTAGTTGGGAGCATCAAAAAGTTGGGAACACAATTTATCTGTGCTTTATGATAAGATTGTACCTGCAAATAAAATATCCAAGGAAAATCTTCATTAAAAAAAAAAAGCAATATAATAATCCCCAAACAAAGCCACGGTTAAATTTGACTTGAAATCAAATAAATCGCTATGAAATAAATATCTTTTTTATAATGCATTATATTTGTCACAAAAAAAAAATTAATGAAGGATGATGGATCAATATTCACAATTGCATCATATACTTTAATTTCTTATTCAAAATTATTAACTGAAGGGCCGAGTTGCAATGCTGCTCTTCCCATAGGCATATAAAATCATCCTCATCGAAAACAAATAATGAGATCATGATTTTAACAGCTACTCTACTAGCCTCTAAAATAGTAGATTAAAAATAATATTAATTTCAAGACCATAAGCTTTATTGAATAAATATTCTTGATAAAAAAAAAAAAGGTGAGATGAAATCATCAAACATGCAAAAATATATATATATATATCATAAAACCAACCCCTGATACTTAAAAACTACTCCATATGTGATAAAGTGGGGGAACATGAAAGATATAAAAACTTACACCCTGATTATATGCTATGATCATTTTGATGTAATGCTATAACTTGAAGTCTTCTCTCTTAATTTATCTTCGAAGCATTTTAACTTTCTTTTCTCACTTGAACATTTTACACAAATAATAAAAGTCTGTATATGTTTAATTTAGATAATTAAAGTAATTAAAAATGACGAACTTAAAGTATAGATCATAACATTAGTTGGTAGGATTAACACTTATTCCCGTTAACCCCAATCCTCTCAATATACAACATTAATAACTTAATTTGCTATGGTTTTCTCCTATAGCTTTGAATTCAAATTCATCAGCATTATCAACACCCTTTAACCACTTTTGTAAGAACAAGTCCAGTAAGAGTAAGTGGTAGAAAAAAGTAATAAGAAAATTAAATATATGAATTGCCAACACTCAACTTCTATAAATAAAGCTAGCTAGAGATGCTAAATGCATTATAAAAACACATAAATACAATGAATAAAGGTCATGCAAGTTACCTTGGTGATATGACAATACTAATGATCACTCACCACTTTGATCATATGCTACAGCTTAAAGCCTTCAATAAGTAAATATCTGAATCAATATAGAAATCAATATGAAAATTCAATATCTACTATCAATATCAACATGAAAAAAGTGCAAAAATACTTATAATATTATTAAAGTTAGTGTAAAAGTGATCAGACCGTTAACTTTACCTTAATATTGTTAGTTTCTAGTGTTAAATATTGACTATATTTGCCACATGTTGATATGGATTAAAAAAGGGATAAAAATATCCATGAAGTCGTCGCTCAAGAATATCCAATAGCTTAAAATGAGAAAAAAAGTAAAAATAATTATAATATTATTAAAATTGATGCAAAAGTAATTAATCCATCAAATTTTTTAAATGTTGAGCGTCTAGCCAACACTTAAATAAAAGTTAACTATTTTTTTTATTAATGTAGATAAAAAATATTGTCAAGTTAATTTCTACCGAAGTTCTTTTTAAATTTTAGCAGTATAAATTTTAATATTTCTTATTTTCTTTTTATTTAACATTTCAATAATAATTTTATTGAAAATTAAATCTAAACTATCAAAATTTTGACTTAATGGTTAAAAAGAGAAGAGAATATGATGAAAAAAAAAAAGGAGAGAATCTTTGCCGACATATACACCTTGAATTTAAAATTAATATTTTATAAAATTATTAAAATAAAACATAAATGAATATAAACTGTTAAAATCTGACCTTTATAACAATATATTATTATTAAAATAAATTAATAAACAAACTTGATTAAATATTTACGTTAGATTTTTTAATAGGTGGGATCATGGGATAAAGAAACTGAAAAAAAAAAAACAGATTTGGAGATAATCAAAATCTTTATCTCATCGTGGAATTGCTAAACAAATTCATCCCTACTCATCGCCTTCAATCTTCATCTGTTTCGTACGTTTATATTTTTAATTTAAAGAATAATTATGACAGATTTTTTTAGAGCAATAATAATAATTAAGACTGATTAAAAACTTAGTTAAAAATAATTAGTGGAGACTCAATGCAGTAGGGTATTTATATTAAGATATTAACTGATGGTTGATTGATTGATAATAATGATTGTTAAGATATTTAAAACTTTCTGAAACACTAGTGCCAAAAGCTTTAAATAAGTTTGGCCAAAAAAAAAAAAAAGCTTTAAATAAATCAAGGGTTTAAAACAAAAAAAAAAAAAAAGCAATTTGTTTTACTGCTGAAAAGCAGGGCAAAGCCGTCCGTAGGCCCGAGACCTGGGCTGTGGCGCAAAGAGTGTTGAAGATGAGCAGCAAGAGGCGGGGGCAGCCGAAGCACCAGAACAAATACGCCTGGAAACCCAACGCCGGCCGTAAGATCAACGAAACTGTGAGCCCTCATCGCTATTCTCGCTCCTTCTCAATCCCTTCTTCTTTTTACTGTTTCTGGTGTTGAATTCTCACCCGCTTCTGCAGGAGGTAGGAGGAAAGTTCAGGCCTTTGTCTGAAATCACTGGCGTGTGCCCTCGCTGTAAAGAACAGATCGATTGGAAACGCCGTTATGGCAAGTACAAGCCCCTTGTCGAACCTGCCAAATGGTATTTCCTCCCTCCCTCCCTTCTTTTTCTTTTTAAATTTTCTTTCCATGTTCCTGTTTTGCTATCGTTCCTCTATTATCTTTTAGCATTACAGTATTTGGTTAGTTGAGTGGCCTTCTCCAATGTCTAATGTTGCAGCCAGAGATGCTCTAAACGTGCCGTTCGTCAAGCTTACCATAACCTGTGTTCTGGTTAGTTTCGCTTTGTCCTTTTGCAGTGTTTTTGCTTCTAAGATTTGTTTTAGTTTGTATAATTTTTTTTTTCCCGTGGATTTTGTCTTTGCCTGATTGGTTTTGGTGATAATGTAGGTTGTGCCAAAGAGCACCGGGTTTGCGCTAAGTGTTGTTGCGCTGTGGATCGTATAGTTGGAAGGTCATCTTAACATTTTGATGGATAATTCTGTTTCTGTTTTATTTGTTTTGTCCTTTGTGAAATGTGACCATGAGTATTTCAAGGAAAAAAAGAATGAGAGTATTATTCCTCATATGTAACTTTGTTTCTCCTTTTTCTAGGGACCTTTCAGATGTGGAAGCTGAGCAAAAACAGCTTGAAGAGGTTTCTTATATATATATATATATATCCTCTGTTTAAAATGCCTTATGAACATTATAATTATTTTCCTCCGGAGACTTATAATGCTGGTGTTCTTGTCACAGGCCATTAAGAATTCTCGGGAGAGGGAGAGGAGAACCCTATTGCGTGCTGTAAGTTGCTAAAATTATTCTTATCATTCTTCCTTACTTGTTCTTCATCTTAGATCCTGCTTCCCTTTGTTCCCAAGGGTGCAATTTTGCCTGATTGCCTTTGCAATTAAATATAGTACATGACTAAACATTAGCTTGTAGATTTTTGTTTGGAATTTATTATGAAACACACCCATATTCTGGTTTGTTTATCAAGATATTTAAGTGTGAACACCTCCGTTATGTTGTGCTTCTCTCTATTTTTATTCAGAATGATGAGAGTGAAGGTCAAGTTACTTAAATTGGCTATAATTTATGAATTTGTTGATAATTAGTCTCTTTGTTAGTAGGCTGCATAACATTTTCCATTCCATTTGGCGGCAACTGTGAGTCTATGAAGAGGATGCTCTAATGTGTTAAATAATTTTGATCCTTGCATTTATAGGGGTCATTGGCTCAATGATATTAATACTACAACAACAACAACAAGAAGCCTTATCCCACTAGGTGGGGTTGGCTCAATGATATTGATATTTAATCTAAGATATTCATGACCTACACCACTTCTAATCTAAACACAGATTCTCTGAGAATAATTTTAAAATCATGACCCTTCCAAAAAAAAAAAATTTAAAGCACAATATCTATTTAGGGATAATTTTGATCTCAATAATATGATATACATCATATGGTAAAGCAGATCTCCACTTATACCATTTTTCGAGCTCTCAGACCTCAGTGAAGGTTTTTTCCTGGAAAATAAGAAGAAAAAGCTTTACTAAAATAAAAGGAATATTGATCCTAAGCTCTACTATTTTTACGACGTTGTCTCTATTGTCTGATATTGATGCTTATGCGTCCTGTTTTTCAAAAATGCTTGCTGGACGATGCTAATCATTCTCGTTTCTATACTTTTGTCAACAGATGGACAAAGGCAAATCCAAAGGTTCGGGAAAAACTCCTAACGATAATAAAGATAATAAGGTTGGACAATTGTTTCCCAATGCATCTCTGGAGGATTATGCTAAACAGAACAGGCATAATGGAGGTCATGATGGTGGTGAAATTTGTGATAATAAATATGATGATTGTGATGATGAAGATGGTAACAGTGGGAATGAAGATTGTGACGATGAAGATGGTAACAGTGAGGACGTAGAATGTGATGGTGAAGATGATAAAGATGACAGTGAAAACGAAGATTGTCAAGAAGAATTAGACGATGATGATGATGACAATAATGAGCACAAGTCACGGGGTAAATGAATAAAAAGAATGAGTGACTGGCGTGATATATTTCAGTTTTTATACAATCTCATATCAGGGGGATGCTGATCTTGTTGCAGTTAGTTTTGGAACGTCTGCTAAATTTTAGATAGAAAATATAACATGGTTGAGCTCAAATCTTGGAATACAGGCTTTTGATGTATTCTCCAGATATTAGGAGAAAAATATGAGTTTTGGATTAGTACATGATGAGAATGAAGACAAATTTTCTATTTGATGGATACAAGGAAAGAATGCCTCAGTAGTCAGTAGTCGGTAGATCAACTTTGGTTCTGACATATATTTGTGAGTTGGAGCGCAGAATGCGAATTTTAGATCAGTCGGTCGTATGTTATCTTGCTGCTTCTGGCCCCTTTGAATTAGCCTAGTCTTCCTAAGGAAATGTTATATTAGCTACTCTGAAAGTACTTCATAATTTATACTCCCTATCAATAACTGTAGTATTCCAAATGTAGTTAGTTAATAACTTATTTTTCCCTTTCGGTAAAAAAAGAAAAACTTAATTTTCCCCAATGCACTCATTTATATTATTAGTTTGCAATGAATATTTTCACTCTTGAAATTTAACAGCTTTAGTAACGAAATGCTCATCGTAGTTCTGGTTGATGGTATTGTGATCGGCTATCATTTCATTATTTTCTTGATCTGCAATGCATCAGCTCCAAGACTTAATACGGGCCTATGAAGTACCGATATGGTTATGCATAGGGTATACCTACTTATTAGATAATAGATATGTTATAGCATGATCTATTGTATATGACATTTTTCATAATTTCAGAATACAGATAAGGAAATATATATGCTATTCATTTCAATATTTTATAGGACGAGTATCAATATTTTGAGTTTTAAGCAAGCATGTTCATAATATTATAATGATGTTTATGATAATCAATTAAGATATCAATTAAGATATCTGTACTTGTACAGTACAGATACAAGTACTTTTACTTCAAAGCTACAGATTTGGGTTCTTTTTTTTAAAAAAAAAAGGATGTGGGGTATGCCAGGACCAAATTTCATTCGGTTTTCGAGGAGAAATTAGAGCGAAGCTTAAACCGTAACTGCCAGCATGTTGGCTAATAGATCACTGTAAATATCTAATGTAATGCACATAGATAACCCTATAGAATAAAGGAAGAAAATGGAGACAAATCTGAGAATGGTGTATGCTGAAAGAGCTATCTCCTTTCCTTCATGAAACAATATTTGTCACATCACAAATTCGAGAGAAGGCTTTCATGTTATCTCTCATATTATAGGCATTGAAACGCCCTATTGAATTACTCATTGAAAATTAATGGTACTAATAAAAATTCCTAGCTGGAAAAATTCCTCATCTATGCCTCCAATAGCTGTTTCAACCCTTCAATCAAATACGAATAAATGTCCAGCAGCAACTCCTGTGCTTAAGCTGGTGGGTTCACAGGCCGTTAGTGCTTGTTCAACGTCATTGCCCAACAAAAGGGTTTCTGATCCTGATATATTGGTTAAAGATGAGGCCAACCATTTTCTTCTGTCTAGTCATCTTTTGCACACAAGCGCTCTGCTCAAAGAAACAAACTTTTAGGATGAGCTGGATATGTGGCAGAGTAAAGGGTACCAAGATCCATCATATCATATATCAATTAAATCCAGACTCACATCAGTATTTTTATTCATATCATAACAACAAAACCCGAAGCCAGGTAACTATCATAAACAGCCACGTGTGGATAATTATTTTTTGCTACCCAGTATTTGATAGACTATACCAGAACAACCGCACAAGATTGTTAAGACATATGCGCACACATAAAGAGAGCAAAGAGACAGATCTTACTCAGGTATTCATAAGCCAATATCATTGAAGTACCCCATGCCGACATGCTGAAAAATCTTGGACCTAACCCTCTGTACAAACCTTTCCAACCATCCTCGTTTATCAAGTCTTTGACAACTTTTTTAACGGAGATTTTCTTTTCGTGTCCCATCACCTGTAGTGCATAATTGTTGAATCAGAATAATTAAATAGACTGTAACTGGACTACAAAAAGATAATTGAGAAACTACGTTACAATAGTATGATGATCATTAAATCCTTCATTATCATCATCCTAATTGCACAGTACTAATGTTAAAGCACACAACATAATGTTACTGAACAATGATGAACTACTTTTTTTTACTCCCAGAAAAAGGAGAAAGAAAGAAATGGAGGATCCACTTTGACAATGGCAGGGAATAATGAATATAATATCAATCAAACATTGCCAACAAGGTTATGTATACCTGTAATCGTGTCTTAATGGTATCCAATGGTGTTGTAAGGCAGGATGCAGTTGCACCAGCAATAATTCCCCCAGTAGCCTGAACTAACACGATCTTCTGCACTCTAGGTGGGCCTTCCTTATTTTCTGCACTATGTCCCAATAATCTGCCCATGCAACCAGGTATTGATTCTCCTTAATATGAAATAGTTTGCGCAAACATGTATAAATAAAAATATTGGCATGTGCATGATGTGCTATGTTCATTACCCACTAACAGTAACATCAATTAGCCTTAACTGCATGTTTCTGCAATTTTAGCTCACCTTTTGATTGGCTTATGCGGTGCATAGCATCTTGGCCAGATGAACCTAAATTTTTTGAGTCACAATAATTCACTACCTGATGTTACACCAATACGCATGCCAAATGGCCCCATTTGAAAATTTAGAAAAAGTGTAGAAGATACCATAAACAAAGTCATATGTGAGCAGTGAGCTTTTCTAACACTCACCCTACTGATCCATGGCATAGAAGCCTCGAGGTGCTAGTTCAACTTTAAAAGGACAAGACAAGGGTTCAATTGATGGATGTCCATGGGTATTTAGATCTTACTACCATTTGATAATAATATACATTATCTGAATTAGCAACATGTATCCCCATGTCTCACCTCCAAATTAAGCGTTGGCTTGAACCATAACTTGCCCACCAAACAGCACTAGAAGGAGCATAAGTCATAACAGAAAGACCAAATCCTTTATACAATCCACGGATGCCGTCTGATCTTAACACTTTACGAGCAACATCCAGACCACCATTATATTGAGCATGACCTGAGTATCCTTGCACCATCAACTTTTGGCTGACCTGAGTATCAAACCAGTACGTAATTAGCATATAAGGAACATCGATATTTTGCTAAAAGAAGAAAAATTTATCAAGAAAAAAATTACAAATGAGCAGGATAAGAATGTCACCATAATAAAACAAAAGCAGCAAGACAAAACAGCAGAAAGACATGTTATGAATGATAATATTCAATAACAGTCCTTATTTATGCAAATATCTCTCATATTCATACCTTCGAAAAATCATTAGCAAAGCATCAAGGCAAAGACAAAACATGTGCGTGTGCGCGATAAGCAAATACAGTACTATAAACCCTTGGCAGATGTGTACGAGTATGCAACCACACATGTAGATGACATGAATCAAACTATCATACCACATCAATTGGAACAAACACAGCTTGAGCTAAAAGTGAAGATGTCAAGCCTGCAACTCCATTTGCTACAGCTGCCTGGCTGGTTTCAGAGAGTTTAAATGGTTCAAGCATCCTGAAGGTAGCCACCTTAGTGGTCTCTAGGACAGTAAGAAATATAATTCTGGCAGGAATTGCACCAGTGATGACTGTGCCAAATCCTCTATACAGACCGGGAAAGCCATCTGTTCTAAGTAATCCCTTTATTACAGAAAATGCATTTCTCTCTGCAATATCCTTCGAAGAAACCTGTAGTCTAGTCTTCACTACAGAAACCGGGTAGAGTGCCAATGTAACACCTGTAAAGAGTCCAGCTCCTACTACATAGAACTTGGTTTTATCTAGCCTGCATAAATAAGTAACTAATCAATATATACAGAGCTTGAAGATATAAAGACTTGCAAATTCAAATATGACTTCTTACAGCCAACTGAACACTTTCTGAGAGGAAAAGAAATCAACAAAATGACTACCCATTTGAACTGCTACCAGTCTGTAAGCATTATCAAATATTTTCAACAGGTTCATTACATCTAGAATTTGAAAATAAGATGCTTTTAATTAATCTCAAGAAAAGAATCAGTCTACCTTCGATTTCAATTCGTTTGATTTTTGATATAGAAAGAAAATCCGAAGTCATTTCCCTAATCCCCACTAATAAAACGAGAAGGAAAGACCATGAGACTTTGCCAAACTACAACACCAATAATCGATTTAACACGGCATATTAAACATAGGTATAGGAAGGCGTTTCAAACAACAAATATTGGACATGAACCATATATTGACTAAATTAGTGAATAGCGCATTCATTCCACGGGTCAAATGTCATTAATAAAACGCCAATGCTGAATGGAAGAACACGAGGAGAATGAATTTGCAGCGCCAACTGTTGCATCCAGAAAAAGTGCGAATTGGAAAAATAAGGCCAAGCAAACATTACTTGTCCCAGTTAATCTCAGTCTGGCCGAACGAGTGGGCTCGCGAATCGGACGCTGCCATTGGGTCTTTGGCACCCTTGGATTCGATAAATCAAATCTGGCAGGAAACTAAGGAACCCATCCCACGCCGAAAGGAGCGACTCTTCTAATTTCTTGGAGCCAAAACAACGCTTGCGTCCGTCTGTGTGAATCGCTGTCTGGGTGAGTCAGTGACGATGTGCGTAATTTTTCTTTTCTATTCTTTTCTTTTTTTGAAAGAAATAAACCCTTGATACGGACTATTTTCTTTGTTTTAAAATTTAGGGGTTTAATCTGAAAACAAATGAGGAATAAACCTTGATCCGAACTGTCATCCAAGGCAAAAAAAATTTCAAGATTGGCCTTGAGAAATTTCCCCCCTAATGAAACTATCTTGTGAAGGAAGAACAATCAGTCCAAGCATGAAAAAGAATTGGCTAAAACTAAAAGAAAATGACATATAAAATGGGGGAGAGACAGACTGTTGAGTCAAACTTCAGAGACCTTGAACTTCACGCTAGTGATAGACATGGAATTTTGTAACACCTCAAAAACCTGAAGAGCCTCAAGTTTTTCACTAGAGTCTTCTGCCATATAATTTACGCACAGAAAAGCTAAGAACAATGAAAAGGAACATGTGTTTCCGTGTGACTTGCCAATGTGTTGTCTCTGAGATACTAAGCTTCCTTCGTGAGTTGTATCAGTATTGCGAGGTTGGAGTTGTAATTAAGTTATGCATTGAGTAATTGGTTCCAACATTCCCTCGCAAAATGACACTGTGGCATGGTTTTACTTTTGATTCCGTTGAAAACAACGACTAGTCTACCTTGAACAAAAATCATGGCAAGGGGCATGTGACAATGTGTCTGTCGATTCTTATTCTATCCCAAGTGATAAGCCGACTTGAACAAAGCTGTCAGTCTGTTGATTCCGCGTGTTGACTTTTTCGACCCCTTTGGCTTCTTTGCTGGCTCATTCTGACTTTCTTCTGCTCTCCATAATCTTCAACTCAGATTTTCAGAATTCCATATCAGCTCTGCAACAAGAAAATGGGTTGCTCTTTGATGCCCATAATTAGATCCCTCTGGACACCAAGTTCCGGCATTCTATTTTTGTTCCTCCTCACTTGCTTTTGCTTCCCTTCTACAGGTCTGCTCCTTGTTCTTCAAGTTTCGGAACTTTCCGACCCTTATCTTTATCCATGGAAACTTGTTTCTATTGATGCCCATCATGGAGAATACGTTCTCTGCTTGTTTATTTTCTGGGTTAAACTAAACTTATAGTTTACTGTCTGCATTTTGGATTGTTGTAGCCTGCGTTCCTTTGTTTTCCGGGTCCAAGAAATGCCATTTAGTCTTCTTCTTTTTTTTAGGCTTTTTATATAATCTTTTTACTTTTAATAATGTTTGATCTTTATTTAAACAAATAAAAAATTATACGCAAGTCCCAAGCAATGAAAAGGACAATTAAGTTATAAATAAATCTTATGATATCAACTTATATTGTAAAGTATAATGAAAATTTAGTGGAGATATACAGTTTATAAGACAGTAATTAATGATTAATGGGTCAGAATATTGGGCTTTATCTTCTTTTATTGTAAATCCTACTCATAGCCTCTGTAAAACTATAGCGATCATATATCTAAGACAATTCATTATTAGCTTGGAAAGTTGTGGGACCTATGGATAATATTTCAATTTCTTTTTTAGTTTGTGTCTGCACACCTCAAATGAATGAAAACGGTATTTGTGAACTGGGCTTGCTAGGCAGGTATATTTGCGGGGCCTGCTTACGCGGGTTATTCACTTGTCTGTTTCTTTTACCTTTTTTTTTTTAATTTTTTGTTCTTGAATTATTGGGCGGTATGGCTTCTATTATTTTTTATGGAACACTTTGATTTTTAAAAAAATTGTGCAAATATGATTATTTGGTTATGCAATAAATAAATTCTAAAACAAGCCACATGTTTTAGATTTATGACTTATATGGGTATAGTAATTTATAGACTAAAATAAATTGCTGTCCATATTTAAATATAAATAAGACAATAAAATTTAAAATAAAACAATTTGTTCACATACCTTCTAATCACTAAAATCACCCCCCTGACGTATAGCGCGCGAGGGCTAAAAAATTTTAGTTTTTTCATCGATAAAAAAAAAGTTATTCATGCTTTTATTGTTATAGTCATTTATTTGTAATTACTTATAATATTCTCTTTTTTTTAAGCAATTTCTTATATCTATATTTGTTACTTTTTAAAAAAAACAAAATGTTATTACTTTTTGTAAAATTATCACTAAAACATCAATGAATATATCGTTCTAAATACTATTAATCTCTGTAAAATGATCAAATTAATATTTATTTTAATATTATGATCCTTTAATGTTATTTTCCTAATTATATAATCTCACTTGTTCATCTTATTTTAAACGAAAATCATTAAAAAATTTTCTCCTCTTTTTTCCATTCTTCTCAAATAGGGCATATGTTTACCATGCATGGGTCTAAAATCTAGTTTAAATGTGTTGTGCGTGAATTCAAAATAATTTTCAAAAAAAAAAACAATGAAATGGATGCAATTTTAATGCGAGGTGGTTCTTATTTTTAAGTTTCTAACTTCTAAGTTGTTTCTAAGTTCTAACTTTTATCTTTAATAATATTTAATAATATATTTATAATTAATTTTTAAAAATGTCCTGGTCTCTTTATTAAAGTTTTTATATCCTTTCTTAGAAAGTTGCAAAAGTCTCTCACATTTCTTAATTAATTTTTCTAATCTCAGAAAATTGATTTAGCATCAGTATTTTGTTTTCTAAGTGAAATGACAAGAAAAGACCGAAGATCTGTCCTTAAAGATCTATGAAGTCCGACATTAGAAGTCGGCTGTTACAGAATAATGGTTGGTGTCTGAGCTTTTGGCCAAGTAGGATAATTCATTTACAAAGCTCTTTCCTCTGTTTAAGTTGCGAGCACGTAGGACCGGTCCTTTAGAACCAATCAACCTGAGAGGATGATCACTGATCACTGAATTCGAAAGCGGTTATACAATTTATTGCCTGTTAGAGTGTCATCACCGTATTTCTTGGAAAGTTGCACGATCTAAAAAAAACTGAAGATGGTTTCACAAATTGGCCATCGAGTAGTGTTGTGTGTCTCTTGTAGCCTGCACTGCACATTTTCATTCGTTATCAATGCTTGGTATTTTAAATTTTAAAATCTCCTTTTCATTTGCCATCCTTATCATTGTCACTCAATGCCTGTGCCTGACATGTTAAAATCTCTCATACATTTACACTTTAATTAATCTTTGGTTGGTTGTTTATCTTTCAGAAGCTTATGATGCGCTTGACCCAAATGGAAACATCACAATCAAATGGGATATCATGAGCTGGACTCCTGATGGTTACGTTGTATGTACTTTGTTTTACTTTCATCATCTATGAATAGCAGCAGTAAAAGCCTCTATGACACTAGCATTGCATCAGAATTTGTCTGGCTCTCGTACACATCTTAATCTGTAACATATCATGCTTGCATAGATTTTAAATATTCGTAGCTGAAAACAAATGGAATCTGTAGGCTGTGGTTACCATGCACAATTTCCAACAATATCGTCACATGGAAGCACCAGGGTGGACTTTAGGATGGACATGGGCAGATAGGGAGCTAATATGGAGCATGATTGGAGCACAGGCCACTGAACAAGGGGATTGCTCAAAATTCAAAGGAAACATCCCACATAGCTGTAAAAAGAACCCAACAACTGTAGATTTACTTCCAGGAACACCTTACAATCAGCAAATAGCAAATTGCTGCAAAGGTGGGGTTCTCAGCTCATGGGCACAGGATCCAACCAATGCGGTTGCTTCATTTCAGGTAAGTGTTGGCAGAGCTGGGACCACTAACAGAACAGTCAAGGTGCCCAAAAACTTCACCCTGAAAGCACCAGGACCAGGTTACACTTGTGGGCCAGCAAAAATTGTGAAACCCACTCAATTCATAACACCAGACAAAAGGAGAGTAACACAAGCACTCAGTAAGTTGTTAAGCTAATCTATATTCATCTTCATTTTAAGAGTCTGAATGTAGTCTAGTCCCCCACCCTCACCTCATGTGTTACTGTTAACCTTTTGTCATCCAAAAGCTTTAACTTCTGTTGCTAGCATGTGCTTTTGTGTATCCGAGCAATATCTCTTAAATTTGAAGTTGGCATTATTCTTGGTATATTGCAGTGACATGGAATGTGCTCTGTACGTACTCACAATTTGTAGCTCATAAAACTCCTACTTGCTGTGTCTCCCTCTCCTCTTCTATAATGATACTGTTGTACCCTGCCCAACGTGTTCATGTGGTTGCCGGGGCAACTCATCTAAGTAAGTTTCATAAACCGGGACATCATGTACGATTGCTTCTAAACTGATCTGGAGAATATATTCTGACATGTATCTATGTGGGGTTTCAGGCCAGATTCACGTCATTTGAAACCTTTGGTTGAAGGTACTAATCATATGTGCCCCATCCGAGTCCACTGGCATGTTAAGGGTAACTACAAGGAGTACTGGCGCGTTAAGATCAGTATCACCAATTTCAATTATGGGATGGATTATTCTGGGTGGAACTTGGTTGTTCAACACCAAAACTTTGACCATCTGACCCAACTTTTTGGTTTCAACTACCAGGGATTAACACCAAACGGAGCAAAAATGAGTGAGTTATTTTGAATGCCATCGTTTCTATGAATTCTTTCTGCTGTGCATCTGACAGGAGTTATGCATGAGCATGAGTTTTTTAACTAAAGTTGGTTTTGAACAGATGATACAGCAATGCTATGGGGGATTAAGTTGTACAATGATATTCTCAATCAAGCTGGCCTTTCAGGTGATGTAGAGGCAGATCTACTTTTTCAAAAGGATAAATCAAGTTTCACTTTGAAGAAGGGCTGGGTTTTTCCTCGGAGGATCTATTTCAATGGCGATGGTTGTGTGATGCCACCACCAAATGCATACCCTTTGGCTGCCTAATGCCTAATGCCCGATCTAGAATTCATGTACCAGACTTCACTAAAATCACAACTTGCGTTTTAAATAAATTCAGTTGTAAGATTGGAAATTAGCCTCTTGCATTTTCAATCCTGTTGACGAGATTCTCAGTAAATTTGTGATGTAAAAAGTAACCTCTTGAATGTTGAACTTTGC